CCCGGCCCCCAGCCTCCGGCGGCCCCGCAGCGCGGGGGGGTTCTTCCCGCGGTCCCGCTCATCTCCCAGCGGCCTTGGCCGCTCAGTGTGTGGGCCGTTCGTGGCACGTCACACTAGCTATAGTAAGTCATACTACAAGTGTGATATACATATGTCAATGGATGAGGGCCATTCATTCTCTGAAGCTTCCCCATGATATGTGAAGAAACATTAATATCAATAGGAGTACCCTGTCAGTAGTTGTCCTCCTAGGAGAGGATTCTGGGAAGGAAACATATATAGTGATATTAGAATAGAGAAGGATGACTTAAAATCTTTTTTTAGATCAAATTTCAGGATGGTGTGGTGTGACAAGGAAGAGACTTGTTACCATAAATATTTGTTTGATTGCACTGTAAATATGTACAGGCCATACAATGTAATTTTCCTGAACTTATAATACAGACTCATTGATATTTTTTGTTTAAAAAAACCCTATGGCTTGACGCTGGAACAATTCAATTTGTGTCTGCATATTTAAGTGCGAAGGGAAAGGTAGTCTTTGGGTGTTCAAACTTCCTTTGTGAGGGTATGTCTACACTACCACCCTAGTTCGAACTAGGGTGATTAATGTAGTCATGCGAACTTGCAAATGAAGCCCGGGATTTGAATTTCCCGGGCTTCATTTGCATGTTGCCGGGCGCCGCTATTTTTAAATGTCCGCTAGTGCGGACTCCGTGCCTGCGGCTACATGCGGCACGAACTAGATAGTTTGGATTAGGCTTCCTATTCCAAACTATCTAGTTCGTGCCGCGTGTAGCCGCAGGCACGAAGTCCGCACTAGCGGACATTTAAAAATGGCGGCGCCCGGTAACATGCAAATGAAGCCCGGGAAATTCAAATCCCGGGCTTCATTTGCAAGTTCGCATGACTACATTAATCACCCTAGTTCGAACTAGGGTGGTAGTGTAGACATACCCTGACTGCGTGACTTGCATTATCCCCATCTGCTGCCCCTAGGGTTTTATTGTTGTATATAGATAGCCTCAACACAATTTTGATTAGGGGTTTTCATTGAAGCCTCCTGCTACCTAAAGGTTAATCTTCAGCCACTGAATCTACTCAAAGAAGCCTTCTATCATGGAATTCCAGCTACATGACTAACTTAAGAGGTCTGGTATTGCATAGCTTTAGTGGCAAACTAATGGAACTTAGCAAGTAAAATGCATTCTGGCAGTTTATTCCATGTAACAAAAGGAAAGCTATACCTTGCACTTGCTTAAGATCTAACCACCTAAGATACGAGGAAATCATGAATACTGGTAGTTAGAGGGAAAATTTCAGGTTTTATTCAGATTTATCATACATTTGAAAAACAGAAAATAGATCTTGTCAAATAAACTTGATATTACTTTTATGAAATTATAAGTTTGTTGATAAAGGTTACTTTGTAAACTTCTATGAGACATTTGACTTAGTACCACATGATTGGTAAAGTTTGTAGAAGACATGAAGTTTTGGTGGAATGGTAAATGATGAAAAGAGCAGGTCACTTACAGAGAATGATCTGGATTGCTTGTTAAACTGGCACAAATTACATGCGGTGACACTAAGCACATCTGTATTCACATCCCACAATCTACTGTAATAATCTGTATATAAAATACCTATTGTGAGGTATCAATTGAAAACTAATGACTCAATGGTCATTAAAGTCTTGTATGATGCATATGGTGGGGATTAAGAGTTATGGATACATTCTAGAATTATGATAAAAACGAGTTTAAATCAGGAATGTCAAGTGTTATTAAATGGGTCTGCCTTAGATAAAGGAATACATATTTGATTGTCTGACCAATCTTCAAAGAGAAAGAACATCAGTTTTTATATATGAGGTAAATAAAACTACTAATCTAACAAGTGAGGGAAGAGAGACTATGGAGCTTCCTTCACCAACAGACTTCATGTTGTCTTTCTCACAGCTTGAGTACATTTTACGTTGAGGAGTAAGGATCAGAAAAATCCTTTTAAAAATATACATGTCCCCATCTATAAAAAGTCAAATGTCAAACCAATCTGATAGCTTTCTTTGATAGAATAACGAGTTTTGAGGATAAGGGGAGAAGCGATGGACGTGGTATACCTAGACTTTAATAAGGCATTTGATATGGTCTCGCATGACCACCTTATCAATAAACTAGGCAAATACAACTTAGATAGGGCTATTATTAGGTGAGTTCATAACTGGCTGGATAACTATTCTCAGAGAGTAGTTATTAACGGTTCACAGTCATGCTGGAAGGGCATACATAACAAGTGGGATTCCAGAGGGGTCTGTTTTGGGACCAGTACTATACAATATCTTCATCAATGATTTAGATGATGGCATAGAAAGTATTCTTATTAAGTTTGCAAATGATACCAAGCTAGGAGGGGTTGCAAGTGCTTCAGAAGATACGGTCATAATTCAAAATGATCTGAACAAACTGGAGAAATGGTCTGAGGTAAATAGAATGAAGTTTAATAAGGACAAATGCAAAGTGCTCCACTTAGGAAGGAACAATCGGTTTCACACATACAGAATGGGAAGTGACAGTCTAGGAAGGAGTACTGCAGAAAGGGATCTAGGGGTCACAGTGGACCAAAAGCTAAATTTGAGTCAACAGTGTGACGCTGTTGCAAAAACAAACATGATTCTGGGCTGCATTAACAGGAGTGTTGCAAGCAAGACACAAGAAGTCATTCTTTCACTCTACTCTGCACTGATTAGGCCTCAGTTGGAGTATTGTGTCCAGTTCTGGACATCACATTTCAAGAAAGATGTGGAAAAATTGGAGACTGTTCAGAGAAGAGCAACAAAAATGATCGAAGGTCTAGAAAACATGAGCTATGAGGCAAGGCTAAAGGAATTGGGCTTGTTTAGTTTGGAAAAGAGAAGACTGAGGGTGGACATTATATTGGTTTTCAGGTATCTAAAAGGCTGTCCAAGGAGGAGGGAGAAAAATTGTTCTCCTTGGCCTCTGAGAATAAGACAAGAAGCAAGGGGCTTAAATTGCAGCCAGGAAGGTTTAGATTGGACATTAGGAAAAACTTCCTAACTGTCAGGGTGGTTAAACACTGGAATAAATTGCCTAGGGGGATTGTGGCATCTCCATCATCAGAGATATTTAAGAACAAGTTAGACATCTATTAGGGATAACATAAGACTGTGCTTGGTCCTGCCATGAGAACAGGAGACTGGACTTGATGATCTCTTGAGGTCTCTTCCAATTCTAGTATTCTATGAGTCTATATACTGGCCTAGAAAGACAGGGCATCTAAATCTCAGGTGAGAAACAATTTAAATAATCTGATTGCATACAATATTAGGCTACGTCTACACTGGCATGATTTTCCGAAAATGCTTTTAATGGAAAAGTTTTCCGTTAAAAGTATTTTTGGAAAAGCACGTCTAGATTGGCAGGATGCTTTTCCGCAAAAGCACTTTTTGCGGAAAAGCATCTGTGGCCAATATAGACGCGTTTTTCCGCAAAAAAGCCCCGATCGCCATTTTTCGCGATCGGGGCTTTTTTGCAGAAAACAGTACTGTGCTGTCTACACTGGCCCTTTTGCGCAAAAGTCTTTCAGAAAAAGACTCTTGCCCAAACGGGAGCAGCATAGTATTTCTGGAAAAGCACTGACGATCTTACATGAGATTGTCAGTGCTTTTCTGGAAATTCAAGCGGCCAGTGTAGACAGCTGACAAGTTTTTCTGCAAAAACAGATGATTTTGCGGAAAAACTTGCCAGTCTAGACACAGCCTTAGAGTATTATAAGAGTGTATAGAGTGAGGTCTCTTCTGAAAGCTAATGACACACTAGTGATTACTATCATTCATTGCCAAATATGTTAACAGTGTATAAAGAAATATGGGAATGTGATGTTATTATGCTTTAATGTCTGTGGCCAGACAGGAGGAAACAAGTCTTTCCCAGAAAATAAATAAAAACTGCTTTCTGTGTCTCCTATGTAAATTAAGCATGGTGGAATCAAAATAGTGGAAGCCTCATTCCCATACAAGGAGATGGGAAGCCCACTGGAAGGGAAGGATAGCACGAAGTCATTCTGCCACTTGAAGCAAGTTCATTAAATATTGGAAGGTTATTAGCAAAGACAGAAACTATCTTTGACATCTATCACTAGATAGACACAAAGGAACAGAGCTCTTGCAAGTTGAGAAAGATGGTTCCTGTTTTTGTACTATAAGCCAACCCTGCTGTGTTGAAATGGAAAGGTATAGTTATCCCACTTAAGTTAATAAGCTATGATATTCCTTTTATTTCTTTAGAGGAACAAATGAACTTTATTATTGCTCTGAAGCCTCTAACAGAGGCTGAACATTACGGAGCACACAGGTTTTGGAAAATTCAGGACCAGGAATATATTGTGGTTACCTATCAAGTAGTGACCAACACTGGTGAAAACTAGAATGGGGCTGTAGGGCTGTAGATAGGCAGCTGGAATCAGAGCTGCTGAAATAGGTATACAGGAACTCAGGATATGACCTGCACACTTGTAGGCTGGTTGTGACCATCCTAAGTTGGAAGCTGCTACAGCAAAGCAGTGTGAGGCACTCAGGGTTACAGAGCAAGTGGTGACACAACATCTTTTCTGGATTACAGCCCCAAATGCAATTACACTTGCATCTTAATGGAACCAAATACAAGATCATAGATTGAGTACAAATATTACTTCTGTTTTTTGTAGGATTGGGGTATTGTTTCTTCAAAAGCAGTGACTCTGAAAAGGACTTAGCAGTCATGGTGGATAATTAAGAGAACAAAGCTCCCAGTGAAAAGCTATAACTAAAAAGGCTAATGTGAATCTTGCTATGTATAAAAAAGAATATTGAGTAGCGATCAGGAGGTAGTACTGTATACAGCATTGGTGAAACAATTACCGTATCGATACCATTTCTGGTATCCACACTTTCAAAAGGATGTTGAAAAATTAGATAAGGTTTAGACAAAAGCCACGTGTTAAGAAGTTAAATCTGTTTAGTTTATCAAAGAGATGGTTCAGAAATGACAGAGAGAAAATAGATTTGGTGCTAGACGGCTCTTTAACTTAGCAAAGGCATAACAAGATCTAGTGTCTGGAATCTGGCACACATTTTTAACAACAAAGATCGAATAAAACTTATAAAGTGATGGATTCTCCATTACATAAAGAGCTGAAATCAAGATTGATGTGTTTCTGACATATATGTTCTAGTTCAATCTAAAATCATAGGTCTTGACCTAGTAATGTCTGGGTGACATTCCGTAGCTAGTGTTATGCGAGGTCACATTAGGCGATCATTACGGGCCTTTAAAAAAATCCCTATGACTTGAAAATTAATAGAGAAGTTGAGAAATGAATATAATATGGAGACATATTGTGTATATAAGAGGCGGAATTGAAAATAGTAAAATCGTCAGTGGTCCTGAAGAGAGATGGGGTTGGGTTTATACAGATTGTTGTGTCTGTAAGGATATTGACAAGAGGCCAAATGTTTGAGTTTGAGAGGGAAGCTGTTAGTCACTGATGAGGTTTACATATAAAGTGAGTGCATGTACAATTAAAGCTGGAAAAGTACAACTGGAAACGTTGTTTGCATAATGTTTTTACACTCAGTATTTTAACTTATTAATAGCTTTTTCTGTAAATATTCATAGATAAAGTGATTAAACCATTCAACAGTATCAAATACTGTTGCTTTAAGTACTGGAAAGTAAAAAGCACACAATCCTTTGAGCCTGGTTCATAAACATGAGCACACACATACATGTGGAGGAAAAAATAGCCAAATTGCTAGCAGCATTACCTCACACTCTGTCAAGTGATTGGTTTCATTAGGAAGATGTTGGCCCAATATTGCCCTTCATTTCTGTAATTTTGGACTGAGAAGTAACAAGTTGCATAATTGGAGAAACAAAATTTTTTGTTTTTTTGTTTTTTTTGCTAATGCATTTGTTCTCTTGTCATTAGCTAAGCTGCGGAAATGAACAAAGAGACTTCTTGAAATGTGATTTGAAAAGTTTAGATTCTCTATTTAACAAGGAGTCTGTTAAAGGCTAAAAGGCTGTGGTTTCTCAGGTGTAATTTCTTAAAAAGATTATTGTATGTAGAAATTATTACTAACTGTTCTAATACATGTTTAATTCAAACAGCTATATTTTAATAAATTATCATTATTGGAACCTTCAGATACAATAATGATATTTTGCATATATATTTCTCCTGCAATATTTACTTACCGTTGTAGGGAAGTGGAATTAAGATGTAAAATGTAGAACTGAATTTTGAACCATGCCACTGCCTACATACAGAATGGAGGGTATTTGAATCCTAGGTTTTGATTTCAGTCTGTTTCTACTACTGCAGTTTATTTTATTTTTTTCACATTTGTGTAATTTGATGAACAAAAATTTAGGATAGTGATATAGATTAAATAGAACTAAACCAGCAAATTTGATTGTTTCTTTGGCTGTTTTTGTTAATGTTTAAATATACATTTCACTTCATGTATATTCTAGGGCCCTCCACCATAGACTTTGGTGAAGTTTGTGTGCACTCCTCATCTATGAGAAAAATGCATATAATCAATAATCTGTCTGTGCACATCTGGATACAAGTAGAAATTGAAAGTGAGGAGCTACAACAGACTAGTCCACTGTCCCATGTGTTGCCACCTCTTTCGAAGACCTACATTCCAGTAGTATTTGAGACTAATGCCTTGGGGAAATTTCAAAAGTAAGGCTATTTGTTTTTTGATTCAGATATTAAGTGGCAAAAGAAATGTACACATTTTTCACATAGCCAGTTTAAATTAAATATTATTATAATGAAAGTTTTGTTTTGTATGTAATGATTTGTTGATGTATACATCCAACACCTAGTTTTACACACACAGCTTTTGCCACTATAATAATATTTATTAGTGATATGATTTTTATTCTTTTTGACTGGCAAAAGTTATACTGGCAAAAACGTGCTTTTGCCATGATATCTTATTTCATTTGGAAAAGCTGTGCTGTCCGCAGTATAAGCTGTCTACCTTAGGAAGATTTGCCAGTTTAGCTATACCGGAAAACCTTTTCTAGTGTGGGCCATGTCTCAAGATGAAACACTAATTATACCTATACAGTCTTGGAGGGTTATCCATGTTTGTCTGTTACTTTAAAAACAACAAGTAGTCCTGTGGAACCTATTTTATTTGTGCGCACACACACACACACACATGGCTCGACAAATAATGCAATCTACTTGCCTGTGGCAAGTAGATTGCAAGCTGGAAGAGCCAGGTTTGGGCGATCTGCGCATGCTCAGAACGATCTGTACATGCGCCGATCGCTGGACAACGCGGCTGGTGAGCGGGGCTCACTGCGGTTCAG